CTCAGGGGGCCAAAGAGCCGCCACATGTGGCTCGGGAGCCGCAGTTTGCCGACCACGGACCTAGGCTATTATTTGTGGGTGTGTGTATAAAAGCTTAATCTACTGTTCGACCATTCAACCAGTAGCTATGATGCACACTGACCACCAGAGGGTAGATGCTCTGACTGGTAGGTTAGCTTGATGCTGGGGTCTGGCCAATCGGGATTGGGCAAGACGGGCCAGACACACCCTGAAGCCCTCCCCGACCACGATTGTGCACGAGTTGGGTCTCTCTGCTTGGCCTGTGCCCTCTTGCAATCCGGGACCCCTCGGGGGATGTTGGAGAGTCAGTTTCATCCCGATCACTGCAGGCCGTGCTGAGAAACCCCACTGGTGCACTAATCCATGCACTGGGCCTCTAGGTGAGTTATAATGACACTTCATGTATTCTTATATATCCTGCATACAAATCCTTTGTCCTAACCTTGTTTTACAAATACCTTCTCCCAGTTCCTGGCCATTTTCTTAGTGATGCATTTCGATAAGTCTGTCTAGAAGTGTTACTGTTTTGTGTTTTACGTTTATGTGTAAGGTCTACTTTGACCTAACTTCTCAACCTTTGTGAAAACTCTAAGATCTCCCACCAGTGACCCGACGTGCAAATAACACACAGCAGAGGCCCACGCTCAGAGCTGCGTGAGGAACCACATTTATTTCATAACTGGACAGAGCGTAGGTGCACACACAGTATGGGAGCCTAGAGCTAACACTCGGGGTCAGGACGTTGGGGAACTGGAGTCATCACGGCAGGATGGCAGTTATGGTGCAGGGGTGGGTGTGCCACACAACCACGTATGTACAAGCCACAGGGAGCCCCAGGGACAGGCAGCTACAGGAAGCACAGGCCCAGGAAGAAGCCACAGCCTGTTGTCTGGAGGACCAGCGTGGCAACCTGCTCACACCTCCCCGAGCACTTCGCCACACCCGCCTGAGGTGGGACTGCCTCACACAGCCGCCTGGGTGTGTGTGTATGTGCATGTGTGTGTGGCCGAACTGAAACATTGCCACCTCACGAGTGGTTACTCAGAACAGGGAGTCCTTGCAACTACTGAGTATCACACACACCCTGGACACCAGCCAGGTTACTGGAGCCCATGGCCAGCTGGCCAAGCCCAGCATCCCCCCGGGACCTCTCCCTAGAGCCTCTGGAAGGAACTCACGCTCCGCTGGGTCGGGGGGGACACAGAGCGGATCCGGACGAGAATGGTCTTTCAAAAACGAGGCCGCAGCCTGAGCAGCATCAAGCATTCAAACAAAACCCACCAGAGTTGGCTTTCTGGATCTCTCTCTCCTCCCTACTCAGCGGGAAGAGAAGCCACACCAGACCTGACTTTGCTCTCTGCACCCCAAAGGGTGCAAACCCTCAGGGGCCCCCAGATGAGCCTCGCTTGTCACAGATGTGGAACCAAAGTCCTGGCTTGATAAACGACTTGTCTCAGCTAACATGACACATGGAGGTTCGGGCATGGCGGGCACAGAGACCAGGCCTCCTGACTCCGCGTGGGTTTCCTCTCCGGCCACTCTGGGTGTCTGGACTCGGACCTAGGACCTCCCGCTACAGCAGGCCCGGAAGGGACGCCAGGTCCACGCCTGGCTCCTCATCACTGCCAAGACGGCCCAGGCCAGGATGAAACGGTCCCTGGAAGCCTCCATGGCTGGGGAGGCTCCTGTATTTGGGGAGATTGCGAAAACCCTCTCGGGGGTCCCTTCCCTCAGCCCTGCCCAGGACACAGGTGCTCTGCAGGTTGGCTGGCCTCAGACACCTGTACCCTCGTGCCAAGGCCTCAGACCCTCTTGGGGCCACGCCCTCAGGCTGGCTGACCTGAGTGGGCCGTGGCTGGGCCCTGGGGAGCCTCTCTTAGCACTCGCCCCTTCCTGCTTCTCCCCGCCACGGGCTGTCATAGAAGCCAGTGTTTGTCCCAGGCTAGCTCCTCTCCTGTGTGTCTCAGCCCATCACCTCCGGGAACACCTGTGGAGGTGAGCACTGTCCCTGCTTCTGGACAATGTGCGCCCAGACGCTCGCTGGCGGCTTCCCCTCAGGAGCGCTGTCCAGGCACAGAAGGGCTGTCAGCCTCCTGCTGGGCTGGTGCAGGCTGGCGGGCACACACAGGCGGCCACAGGATCCGCCTTCCTTCATTCCTCATCTGAGGCCAAGCTTGAGGGGCCTGAACAACTTCCCCAAAGGAAAACCTCACTGGAACCTCATCCCTCGGATGAAGCCCACACCTCACATCCCCAGAGGAAGGAGCTGGGGGCACCTTGGCCTCAGTGGCCAGAACCGTGAGAATGTCCATGTGTCATGTCAGCACCACGTGCGACAGTGTGGGTCTCAGAACCACTGTCTCCAGGGTGAGCTGGAGTCCTCCAAGCCAAGTGGAAGCTGGTGTCAGTGAGCGGTGCCCAGCAGGGGCTGGCAAGGATGGCGGGAGTTGCCAGAGAAAGCTGTGGACCAGCAAGGCTGGGCATGAACTGGGGCCAAGTGAAGCTGCTCTGCTGGGGACAGTTTTGCAGTGTTTTGTTTTTCTTGAGCTAAAAAGAGGCCCAATGTGCCTCGGGTGTGGGAACAGGTCCCAGGAGACCCCCTGTGGTTTCTCTGCTGGGTTTAGGGCCTGGACAGGACCCTTGGCCAGACTCTTGGCTTGGGCTGACTCCTGTCCTGTCCTGGCCAACCCGTGGGCACAGGGTCTGCAGAGAGGCCAGAACAAGAGAATGGTGGCACATCTGATGCAGAAGGGGGAGGAGGAGCCCATGGCACTCATGGAACTCTCTTCTCTCGGGGCTAAGAGGGGAAATCTCAGACTTCCTTCCCAGGAAAAACCTTGAGCTCACCCCATTTCTCACAGCAACTGGGGAGGCTGTACCTCAAGCCCCTCGCTGCCTGGACCATCACCCTGGACCACCTCTAAGCCCAGCCAGCCTCACCCTACCTGCCTGGACACACGACACGAGCATGGACTCCTGTCCCTCCTCCCCAACCCCGCCAGCATAGCCCTTGCAGCCCTACCACTGCCTCACCTCCCACACCCTCCTGGGAGCTGCACTGGCACTGCTGGGAGTCACAGCTCAGGCGGCTGCTGTGCAGGTTGGATGTGGCTGTACCTCCTGCTAGAAGGGACACACACCACCTTCTGTGCTGCTGGGACCTCAGGCATCAGGTCCCCCTGACTCAGGTACACACCCCAGGACAAGGGTCTGCCCCATGAGCAGCTGGGGAGAGGCCTCAGGCAGGTGGCCCAGTGGCACCAACCTCACTGTGGTCTTCCGAGGCAGCTGCCCACCCTATCTGTCCCTAAGAGGCTTGGGAGACTGGTGTGGGAACAAGCGGGAACAGGTCCATCTGAATCCTAAAGGTCGTTAGAAATAAATACTTATAAATAGAATACAGTCTTATAGTTAACTTCTGAGTGGACTGCTTCCATGTCGCTAACTACTGTATATTAATTATAAGTCTGTCTATGCTTAAAAAAATATGAGAACGTCACCGATGCCCCTGACTGGTGCCCTCCGGTCTCTCCAGCATCTCCGAGCTCTTCCCCCCTCCCCCTCCCCCCGGGGCACAGTCTCAGAGAAGGAAGGATGACGATAACACGGCCTCCACCGGGAGCATGACAGTCATGTGGTGCAGGTCCCCGGCCAGAGTCGGGCTCGCTGGCCCAGCACAGCGTCCCTGGGATGAGGGGACTTGTTGGCTTGTCTGGTGGGAAGGACTGGGTGGCAAAGACAGACGGATGGTGAGAGGGGGCAGGCCGGGCCTGCTGGCTGTCTGGAGTGGGGGTGTCTTCCACTCAGACCCGCATCTGGGCAGACCTCCTTCTGGAAAGCTTGGACCTGCAGGAGGGTTGGAAGAGAAGCAGAGCTCAGGGAGGACGGAGCCTGCAGCTCATTGACCCCAGACCCCTCTGGTTCCCTTGGCACCCGAGAGACATGTCACCGTGACCCCTGTGAAGTCATGGAGGGAGGGGGGCCTGGCT